CATTGCTCAAGGAAATATACAGATGAATTAACAGATATTTTGATTGGCTAATTGGGGTATAGGAACACCAGACTCTCTAGTTCAACTATGATATGTGAGAGATCTCAACTTTCTCAATCTTTCAGTTAGTGAAGTACTGCATTTGCCCAAATGTCCATGGGCTTATTTATTATATAATATTTTCTGTTGCATTTGCCACAAATGCACTATAAAGCTAGTACTGTGCACCTTCAGTTGTATGTAAAATAATGCAATACCCACAAACAATAAGACATGGCAGCATGGGACCAGAATTTATCTTCTAAAATTAAAGTATATAGTCAATGTATAAAAGTAGGGATATGATAAAGTAAACCGGTCATTACATTAAAGGGACACCAAGTGGTATTTGTGCATAGACCCTGGACATCCAGCTGCGGAAGACAGATGTTTGAGCAATAGAGGGAAGTGTCTTGCATGTAAAAAATACTAGCTGAAATTTGCAGTTCAGTAAAAGAAAAAAAAAAAAAAAGAAAAAAGGGTGGGGGTTACACCCCAAAAGTTTAAGAGATGCACCATATAGAGATTATTAGTAAGGCCCCCATCATTATACATATGTGTCTGCAGCAGTATCAGGAAATTTTCAATTGTAACCAGCAAAATATTTGCTTAGGCATTTATAGTATGGAGTCTGCTAGCTGTACAGGAAGGGTTGTCATTAAGAAATCTGTTGAAAAAGCCCAGAGCCCATACACAACATGGCTGCTGTCTGCTTATACTGCTTATAACTTGGCTGTCATGGTGCATGCATACTGGAGAGGGGGTAAGATTACCCAAAAGGGGGATTAAAAAAAAAATTAAAAAATGATGCTTTGAACTTTGTGTTCCAGGCTTACACCACAGGCACTCAAGTGGTTAAAATAAAGTTGTAGCTCCTGCCTTTTGCAGTAAAATAAAGTTTATCTCTGGGTATGTAGTGAACGGCTTGGGCTGCAGGAACTTGGAAAATATTTCTCCAAACTGGTTCTCCCTGCGAAAACTATACCAACAAGATCAGAGAAAAAAACAAAACAAACAAACAACAACTCCTTACAGCAATAACCCATTCACTGCTGGACAAATTGAATAACCCACACTGCACACAGAGGGGTGGGGGAACAAAGCAACCCCCTGCAGCAGTTGTAGAAGTACAGATCCCATGATAAGGCTGTAGGAGGGTACTGGGAGTTGGGATGGGTGTCACTTGCCTCCCCCTTAGTTACAGGACCCCTAGGAGCTGATTACCTGGTTATACTTGACATCTGCCTTGGGGTTAGGTGCAGGGATGGCGGCAGCGGAGAATCTGCTGACCTGGACCCCCAGGGGCACAGATGAGACCCTGGAGCAGAGTGAGCCTAAAGCAGCCCGGAGCATGGTGGTGTTGGAGGAGATACTAGCAGAAAGCTGGGTGTATGGAACCAGGGGGAGCAGGCTGGGCGCTCTGCACCTTTTATTAATACAGCATGTACCCGCCCAGCTGTCACTCCTCCAAAATACACTCACCCCCCCTCCTCCCCGGCCAATGAGACCAAGTTCAAGGTGCGGACAGACAGCAGGAGGAGGAGGGTGCAATGGATCCCGCCCTCTGTCAGCTCACTGAGTGTCAGTCCTGGAGCAGTAAACACTCACTGAGAGAAGGCAGGAGTGGCCGCAGTCTAATGAGTTCATGGGGTTTATTTACTAAAAGTTCTTACACAAACTTGTCAAACAGAAACACTTTTAAAAGTTTACCACAAAATTACTCTTTATATGCAACGCCCACAATAATGTGTCAGATTGTGCAATTAAAGGACCACTCAGGCACCCAGACCACTTCAGCTTAATGAAGTGGTCTGGGTGTCAGGTCCAGCTAGGGTTAACCCATTTTTTCATAAACATGGCAGTTTCAGAGAAACTGCTATGTTTGTGAATGGGTTAAGCCTCCCCCCTAATCCTCTAGTGGCTGTCTCATTGACAGCCACTAGAGGCGCTTGCATGCTTCTCACTGATTTTCACAGTGAGAGCACGCCAGCGTCCATAGGAAAGCATTATGAATGCTTTCCTATGTGACCGGCTGAATGCACGCGCAGCTTTTGCCGCGCGTGCGCATTCAGCCGCATGGGAGGAGAAGAGGAGGATCGGAGGAGGAGAGCTCTCCGCCCAGCGCTGGAAAAAGGTAAGTTTTAACACCTTTCCCCCTTCCAGAGCCGGGCGGAAAGGGGTCCCTGAGGGTGGGGGCACCCTCAGGGCACTATAGTGCCAGGAAAACGAGTATGTTTTCCTGGCACTATAGTGGTCCTTTAACAGGGTTATTCGTAAAACACCAGATTGTGTCCTAACAGAATAAATCCTGTGGAAATTACTGAATTCTGACTGCATTGATAATATGCTGATTTTACTGAAGCCAAATGAGGTCCGGATTCTGTCCAACCGAGTCTATTAAATTTGTTCGGATGAATTTGGAAATCACTGATATCAGAATCCGAACCAATTTACAGCACTGGAATCGGATATTTATCAACAACCACATGGTGGACGAAGATAAACCGAATACATCCAGCGGGATGCACCTTAACATTAAATTAGCATTCACTTGCATTTTGAAAGTGAAGTGATCATTTAAAGAACTATTTGCCCGCTAGCAGCCATGTGGGGACATGTCTCCTGAACAATAGCCATTGCTGTCCAGGCACTAGAAAAGGTCCCATCACAAATAATGAAGGTACATAGTGGCACCAAGTCCCCACATGTGGGCATTGGGTGGGGGTTATTTTATATATTAATGGAGGAGGACCTAGTGTCCCCTTTCCTGGCCGCCATCGATGGGTGACGGTTGTGGACTCTAATATTATTACTAAAGTGGTGGGACCTATTGTACACTCCACTGGCCCCGACCCCCAGGGTGTCGACTGGAGGCCCTAATATTAATAAAGGGTGGGAACTAGTGTTCGACTGATAGGCGGATGATGGGGACCCTAATTCTGTTCTTTAGCCCCCAAAAAAGACCAAATAAAAATTCATAATAACCAACGCAACTAATTAAAATAAAGAAGACCAGGTCGACAATAAATGCCAGAAATACCTCCACCTATAGAGGACTTGCCACAGAACGAGCGCTGATAGTAAGTTCTAATATAGGCTCTACCGCGCTTGCAGGCCAAACAATCAGAGTGCTCTGGTCATATTGCAAAGTGTGGAAACATTTCAAAGGCTTTGCAATATTTGTCATAACATTGATTTATAAGTTACTGGGGTCTTCACCTGCTATCCATGGGTGATGGCCGGGAAACTAGGTGGGCCCTTTTTTACTAATAGTATGGCCCCCACCTGCCACCATAGCATTTCCCTATACCTAATATTAAAACAGCTTTAACCATAACCCAGCATTAACCCTTACCCCACCACGAAACCTACACTAACACTAACCCTCAACTATCCCTACCTGTAAGAAAACCTGTTCCTAACGTGTTCTGATAGCAGATAGATTTCCTAGGAAAAACAGCAGAAACTGCTATGTTGCCACCATCTACTGGCTATTTTTAGCATTACAGGAGGATTCCTGTAATGCTGAAAATCAGGCATGCCAATTACTCAGTGACCGGCAGCTGGCAATGCCCATCACCAATCACAATCGGCATGGCGCCAAGCTGGGAGACCCTTCTAGGATTTGTTTATACTATAAGGGTTTTCACTGATCAACCAGCCCAGAATCTTGCCTCTCAGTCACAATCAAATTCAAGGACTGTACTCACATTGAGCTCTGCATTCAGCTGAGAGGAGTGTAAGCAGGGATTGAATCTTGCTCACACCACATTATAGTAATAGGCCAATGGAAATGGCTCTAGCACTGCATACAGGGCATCTCTCAGCTCCAGCGTGTGAGCAGGGATTTAACACTGCTCTCACTGCATTGAGCCAATATGGATTTAAATCACCATTTAAAAGGATGTATGCAGTACACACTTTGAGCACTGCATACAATTTATCTGTCAGTCCCAGCTGACACCGGGGAGCCACAGGTATAAATTGATACCTGGTAATCCATAGTGTGAGCAGGGATTTAACCTTGCTCACGCCAAAATGTTAGGACGTTCCATGACATGCTAACAACCTTATAACCCACTCTGTGTAGGATAGCATGGAATCTCATAAAGTCGTGAAGGAGTTAACGATCAGGAAAAGAAAGTACAATAAGTATGAAACAATTTTCCTTAATGTATCAACAGTACTATTTTAGTTAAATGTAGATTTTGAAATCAATACTTTAATTAGATAAATGTGTATATGTCATATTTACTATTACTGCTACCACAAAGTATTGGAGAATGTTTGTGCATTTTGTATTATTATTATGAATTTACATATTTATATATATAATTGTATAAACATTGTTTGAAATTTTGGTTTTATACATTTCTTCATTTCTTTTAGGTTAGAAAATACATATATATATATATACCCTTTTATACTTTCTGGATTCCTTTGAGCTTTATACAGTTCTATTTGTCCTTTAAATTGTGTTTTGAATATGGACTCTTATGCCATATCTGAGGACACAAGAGGACATGTGAGGACACGAGAACCTAAGAGAAACCAGCAATAGTTCTGTGACACACACACATTGTGCTATGACTTGGACTTTATTTATTTGTTTTAAATATGTTTATTGGTATCGTGTCTTGAGTTCTCACATCGGACAGATCTTCATTAAAGCGAACAGTCGCCTACGCAGAGGCTTTATCGGTTTATCAGGGTAAATGCAAATTATGAACGTACATAAACCTTTTGTATGTATTACAACACAGACTGCACATAATGAACTGATGTAACATAGTAAGCTAGCTTCATGTGGGTGTTAAGCTTCATGGTTATGTATTTTATAGTAGCGCTTTGTGGGCTTGAACACTAATATGCCTTGTTGGGAGATATGGAGAAAACTAATTAGGAAAAAAAAACTGTATGCATTGTGTATAAGCTCATATATCTGCTTAAACGTGTGGTACGGTATAGGCCGTTGCATGAATGAGCGCTCTAATATATTCCTAGTCGCTTTTAAACTAAAGGCTGCATGGTCCGACATATAGTGCAGTTAATATACTGAGCAAGTATACTGGTGCATAGCATGACATGTGCGCATGACATGTGTTCCTGTCTGAGGCCTTGACATGTAAATATCCATTGTGCAATGCAGCAATCATGCTATTACGTAAGCAAAGGGCATGAGCATCATCTGATAGAGGCGTAAAGGTTGGCTAGTGGCTATTTACCCAGGTAACTTAACTTAATCAATGGTTGGCATACAGTCCCTGCAGTATCATTATAATCACATGTTGAAGTCTTTGTTGCATAGTGCATGTCGCTCAGTGACATCATGCAGAGATATAGGGTGTACGTATCAGAGCATATGGAAAAAATATATGTATATATAGAAATATAAGGCAGGTAAGATACAGTAAAGTAGAAAAAAGGATTTCACCAAACGTAAAAGAGCAAGGCTGGGTATAACTTGTGCGGGCGCTGTATGGCAGTCTGAGGGAGGCCTCACATGTCTCAGCTGCGGTGCAGTCCTCAGGTCACCGTGCCTCGGCCCGTTTTTCCCACATCGGCCCCCGCAAACCGGCCGGGTCTTCCGCAGCACTGTGGGCACTCAGGGGCTGAGATTATCCACTGGACTCCACCACAAAGACCGTGGCCTTCCCGGCCCCTGCACCTCCCCAGCATCACTTTGTTCCCTATGGAGCGGGCACTCCCGTGTCTCTCCCAGTGTCGGCCTCACACTTAATGCTGGTACACTAACCCCCCGGCCACTGGTCAGCGCACTCCCGCCTCACAGGGCTCACGACAGTGGGGACAGGATTCTCCGAGGACCAACCATGTGAAGTTATTTTACATGAATATGCATACTTATATTCTGTACTGTCGCAGTCAGCCATGTGTACATATGCATACCTACTAACTCTGAAAAGGGGGCAACACTTCCCAATGATGAGGCATCTCAGTTAGTTCAGTATCAGGAAGGTTTGCCAGATGATCGATGATAGGCCGAAACTGTCAGCTGATTCAGTTCTGGATTAGGAGCTTCAAAGATCTCGATCTGAAAAAATGACACCAGGCCTGTGATGGGATTCCAGCATGGTCAAAATTTAGTAGGCCGAAATCTCCACATGGCATATGCTAATTAGTATCTGGTTACAAACAGCTGGATGAGTCATCAGTGTACTGAGCATGCATGTGCGGAAGTGGAAAGCACATTCCTTTGTCTAGGTCAGTGATGGCGAACCT